GCGGTTTCGTTGCCCTGAAATGTCCCACCAATCCAAATATTTGTACCTTGTTCTGGATACTCAACACGGACCTTAAGGTAAAGCATATTTTATCTTTCTAGGTCTTGATTTTAATACAGGCTTATAATTACAAATTGATCCATTGTGCTTTACTCTACTTTAATATTTTTCAAAACAACTGGCTGGCTATTACTGCATTGTCTTTGGCTCCTTGGAGCTTGTAGGATACACTGAGCAGAATGTTACATGAATTGTGTAACAACTAGATTCTGTTGCAATACATAGTTTACTTCCTACAGTTTCTAGGAGACATGGTATTATATAAATATCACAGATTAATTCATACATACTTGGGCATTTTGCAAAATGACATCCCACTGATCTTTTTATTCCAACTGGTAACATGAGTCTAGGAGCCATGGTAGTGCAGTGGTTAGAATGCAGTACTGCAGACTAACTTAGCTCATTGCCAGGAGTTCGATCCTCACCGCCTCAAGGTTGACTCAGCCTTCCAAGGTTGGTAAAATGAGGACCCAGATTGCTGGGGGCAATATGCTGATTCTGTAAACTGCTTAGAGAGGGCTGTAAAGCACTATGAAGCAGTATATAAGTCTTAAGTGCTATTGCTAAGTGCTATTCTAATTTACAATACAGATATTTTATGACACATAAAATACTTTGCTTACAAATGCTATATAAAATATGAAATTACCAATATGGGGCTGGACTAGTTTCCTGCAGATCCAGGTTAGTTTTGTTTGCAGCAATTCCCACTTTAGAGTTTCATGGGAGAAATTCGTGGTGTTCTTCCTTATCAGAACACACAGTGCTGCCATTTTTAATTATTTCCTGGCTTAAAAAATCTGTTGTTACCAGAAGAAATTGGAAGAAGAAATAAAAATAGTGAGAATGTGCTAATTAACTTATGCCTCTCTAATAAACAAGCCATCACTATTTTAAGTGAACTCAATAATAGCTCAATTATGCAGTTTCACCCATCACAGTGCTTATATTATTCTAATCTTATGGTTAGAAATGGAACTATATTGTGATGGAAAACTATGATTTGCAGGTCAAATGTTATAGATTTTATTTCTAAATATACTTGGCAAAAAAGATGTCTGAAATCCTTAAGTTCTGCTTAAAGTTCGTGTAGATGAAATTGAACTAGATGACATAGTTGTACAGAGTAAGTTCCTTGTTTTAAAGAGAGAGCTTAACCATAGTTTGTGGTTAACCTCATTTACTCAGTAATGCCTCAGGTAAAACTGAAGTTGGATGGCAGAACTGGGAAAGATCTTGCTCTACCTTAGAGGCCACAACTATGTATCAATATTTGATAATTTAACTAGATTAGACTGGAGCAATGAGCATTAGAATATATAAACATTAAATTGATGTGTTTTGATTTGCTTATTTTATCCTATAGGGTCGGCTTCCCCGATATCTAATTAATCAAAGCTTGAGTGCCACCATGACAGAATTTATGTTCCACCTGCGTAAGCGGATTATGGATATCACATCAAGATCTAATTCTTAAAACTTGGTTTAACATTCCTTTTGAATGTTCTGTGAAACTATCAAGGCCCAAAGAAGTGGATACCTCTTCCTACTAGTTGAAAAAAAAATATTTAGATGACATTCAGGATAAAAATGAAAATGAGCCTGTAGCTGGTGATGTAAATGAATAGACTCAGGAAGATAATCATGTGGGAAGAGGAGATAAGATGGCTGATGGTTGAAATCAGAACATATTGAAAAGAAAAATTAGGACAAAATCTCTGAGATCTCTTGCTGACGATCAAAGTTAACACAGCAGTTGTTGAGCCATAAGATGTGCCAAATTAATTCATGAACATAACCGCAAAATCCAGTGGCTTAATCTCTTATACTTCTGTCTGTCCCTCTTTTCTTCCTTGGCATGGTCATACTATTTCTGACTAGTATAAACAGATAAACACATCCAAGTGTGAAGAGTATCATCAAGTAATCCTGCATATGAAGTGATATGGTTGGAGTGCTGCAGAATAAGACAGATAATTTTCTAATCACTGTTATATCAACTCTGGACCCTCCACTTTCCTAAAGAATGATGTACCTCTTCATGTCAGAGGACTGAATTGCCCAATGGTGTGACCATAATTTGACTATGTATCCTTGAAGAGGTGATGGTTTCAGGAAATGAAATTCCCACTATCTCCATTGAATACATGGATTAGGATTGTGGTTCAAATTGGAATGTGCCTATCTGGGCTGCTGTTCTAGTTCTATCATGATTTTTTTTTTTAGTTTCTTCCCAAGAATGTGAAGAATGTCCCATCGCTATCTGCAGAACTGAACCTTCTATAGTGGCTAACATTTCATAGTTTGATTATGGTCTTCCATCCTCTGGAAGGCTGGAAGGACTTGCTAATTAAGGCCAAGATTTATATTCAGTATATTCCTAAATGACTTCTTAATCCAGAAACAGTGAATTCCAGCCCTTTTCTTGAAGGATGCATTGTTAAATATAAGAGAAGCTTACTTGAAAACACCTTGTCATCTGCTTCTTTTCTTTGCCCTGACAGCATCATGAGGCATGTGCTGGATTTGTCATAATAATGAATGGACCATCTTAAGGCAAAGATTAGGGCTACCACCAGACAATGGGGATTATGCTTAAAGTAGATACTTGTGGTCCATCTTCTTCCACCAAAATCTATTTTCATGAAAGATGATTCCTTAATAAATGCAGTTCCTAAGAAGGTTTTAGGATATGAGTTGGACTAGCAGTTCCATCTGTCTTACATATATCTTGCCTATTACTGCCGAAGTGAAATCTTACTGCCTATCATCTCTGGAAATAAGGAAAGTCATAAACAAGAAGCTGCTTCAAAATATTTTTCTTGATTTTTTTTAAGTAACCTGCACCACCATGAAATATGTGCAGGAGTTTTCATTTCTAAGGATTAGCAATTAATCTTATTTAAATGCCTTCAGTTACTTTTAAACATTCTGATATCATTGGGAAGTGGCTTGTACTTTTTTGTAAATCTGACACAGAGTTTTCTTTGCCTTTACACCTAATTTAAAAAGCCACTTGAATAAAAAAAACATGCTTTTTGCTTCAAATATTTGAGAATTAATCAAATAAAGTAATAATAAAAACTTCAATGTCTGAATGTGTACTTCTTTTGAACCTGTTATGTATCTTTTTACTTTCAGCTCCAAGAGTGTTGGGCATGCTGGGAATTGTACAAGTAGTCCTCGACTTATAACAGTTCATTTAATGATTGTTCAAAGTTACAGTGGCACTGAAAAATATGACTTATGGCCATTTTTCACAGTTATAACCTTTCCAGCATCCCCATGATCATGTGATCAAAATTCAGATGCTTGGCAGTTGGTTCATATTTATTACTGTTGTGTCCCAAGTTCATGGGATCACCTTTTGTGACCTTCTCACAAGCAAAATCAATGGGGAAGCCAGGTTCACTTAACAACCAGGTTACTAATTTATCAACTGCAATGATTCACTTAACAACTGTGGCAAAAAAGACTATAAAATGGGGCAAAACTCACTTAACAACAGAAATGTTGGGCTTAATTGTCGTAAGTCAAGGACTACCTATATTAGTTTTGAGCTTTTGAAATAGGTTTAGGGCAGACTGCAAAGCAAGAAGGAAATAGTACAGTTTGCTAATCTAATCTAAATTAATCTTTGTTTTTATTATTCTAAATAAGTTTTTACTTTTCAGTATTATGCAATTAATTAGGTGTTTTATATATAACATGACCCAAAGTATGCTTTTTCATAAGTGCACATGTGTTCTGTTATAATTTATCCTTCAAAAGCATATCTGTGGTTTATTTTATTGCACTTAATCTACTGAGAAAGAAGGGGCCACGGGCCCTTGTGGTACCTTTAAAAAAACAAAATAAAATGATCTAATGTATAAAATATAGGCCACAAAACTATCTAAATAAATTATTAGCCTTTTAGATGGAGACTAATGTGGCTATTAGTTCAATTAAGATCAGTTACATATTTTGATACTTCACTTTGTGGCTTACACATGAAAGCTTTTTCCTAAAGATAATAGAACTTGCCATCTACTTAATAATATGACATCCAAATTCAGAATTTCTATAGGAATGCAGTTTGAAGTTCTAAGGTACAAACAAGCCGCTTCAAGAATGTTTGTTCAAGCTGTATACTGGCTGATTAAAAGACAGAATTGCCTGAGATTGCAACATGAACCTACAGTAGTTGGAATTGAAACTGATCCAAAGAATGAATGGCGAGAACCATAGAATGAGAAGCTAACTTTTAACCCTGTGCCATTTGAAGCATCTGTTTTAAGCTTACTTGGGCTGTCATGAACGGGCAATAAGTAATTTTTGTTGGCAATTGTCCAACAAATAGGAGGAAGAAAGATGCATGTGAATTTTTCTGCCTCAATGCTCAAAGTAGTCCTAGCTCTTGAAATAAGAAAAAAATCAATACGTTGGGATTGTAACCCATAAGAACAGCTGCTTATTAAATAGTCTAGTAAAATATTTAATTACTTATTAATAACATTCTAGTGAAGCCAGAACTTTTCCCTTTAGTAGTTACGGTAAATGGTTAAAAAAGGCGCTATGGAAGATTATTTCAATATATGATTACTGCAGCTAGATTATTATATGCACAGATGGAAATATTCAACACCAATCACTATGGTTGTTGAAGCTGAATTTGCTACATTTTGCTGAGATTGATAAATTGATTTCTTCGATCAGAGAAAAGACATCTATATTTATTGGTGATTGGAAGCCTTTCATTGAAAGCCTTTTTGCACATAAATGAACTTGCAATTTATGGGTTTAATGATTAGACTGGATAGATTATAAAAAGAATAATAGGATGTAACTTTAACAATGGAAGTTAAAATATATTTGTACTTATAACTGCTGTGAAGAATATCAGAAGCCACATCTTATATCTTTTTTGTTTTTTTTCCCTCTTTCTTTTCTTGCACAAATTAGCCTTATTTAGATCAAAGTTTGTAGCTATTAGAAATGCTCTGAAACATTGACTACATGGAAATTAGAAATTTCATTCATTTCAATTCTATTAAATTTCTACTTTCTGAGCTATAGGGATGTAGAATTAAAAGGTGCATTGCATATAAAACTTATATTAACTCTATTCTAAAAGCCAAAGTGATTTGCTGATGCTTTGTATATGAACCATAAACTATAGCCTAGGACAAAAAGAAAAAAATATCCCAAACCAATACAGGAATTTAACTGACATCTTCTGTCCTGTCAGCCTCTCTTCTATCTGCTTTTTTTATAAGTATTTATGGTGATGTCACAAAGATATAATCAAAGATCACTTGAAAAAAAATTATTGTGCTTCTCAAGATGTGAAATTTCAAGTGAATGAATATGATCACATTCTCACAAAGTACAGCATCCTCATTTTGTTATTGAAGCTAGATAACTTTTATTGCAGCCTGACCTCCAGATGCTTGGTGCCTGTATAGGCCAATATGAAGTGGCCAGGACTGGAAGGTCACCTCTGGAAAGAGACTGGGAAAAGCCTGCTACATTTAAAATATTTGGGTGGGGTTTTTTTCTTTGCAAAACTTGAAAAGCTATCAAGGCAGAACATTCTCTTAGCTTAGGCATTCTTGCTTGGAGTTGGAAAAAAAAACAACCCACTGAAACCATGCATAATACCAAATAGTATTTTACCTCAGAAATGAAGTTCACTGTTGTTTTGGCAGGCCAGTGTTATGATGGTTGTGAAATGAGTCCCATCCATTAGTCGTCTTGGGTTCAAAATATGTTGGGTACTTTGTCTTCACAAAATTACAAGGTATCTGACAACTATTCTCTTAATTCTTTGATCCAGAAGTCTTTGGAGACATTAGGAGTTTTGAGTGTCGAGCACTGTCAGAAACTGGCCACCATCTTGTGGAATGACCATTTAAAAACCCATGTTCTAAAAGTCAAATTAATATGGTAATTGCTCACTGTTCACCGTTCTAGCTTACCTTTTGGATGGTGAGGTACATTTCCTGACAAGCGTGGAGGTACACCCTCCTTATATTTTTATTTTCTAATTATATTCATGAAATTTAAGTAAGATTCATGGCAGCTCTACTATTTTAAAAAATTAAGGGAATAAACAAAATCAAGTCAGGGGCTCCAACTGATACCAAGATAGATAAGTGTCTCTGGATTTATTGTTTCCTAGAGGCACTTTATAATTTAATACTGCTTTAATAGGTCTTGAGGAAGATAACAAAAATGAACTTACTCTTCTTCCCATATAAAAGCCAAATGCCAAGACCACAATATATTATGTTGAATTTTGTATGTTTTGTTCAAACCCTTAAGCTATGAAAGAAACATTTCACATGATCTCTGCTTATGACTGTCAGACAGTATTTAAAGAGAAATATATTAGACTTCTTTGCCTTTTTTTTCAAGCGCAGTTTCTGCTATCTATCATACTCTGATATACTAGTTATAGGCATATTTTATAATCTGCAGCTTTTGCAAGTGACATGGATTTCTTGGGCCAAGTGTGTTGTTGCTGTTATCACGATGAAGATGAATTAGAGAAGAATTCATTGATCACTGGGTATGTACTTTAGCATTTCATAACATGATTGCAATTGTACACATTTGCATAATTCATATAAAAATCTTTTCCTTTGAAAGTAATACTGGAAAGTTGAGTGTTTAGATCCATCTCCCAAGAGTCTTCTAGTATTGTCCATTCTATTGCTTGTTCCACTTGTTTTCTGTCACTCCTCTCTAATTCCAATAGAAGGACAACTTTTGATTTCCTTCCCTATATTATTTATCAATAGTTTCTGCCTGTAAATCTGGCAGGGTTGGATGTGCTCTGAGTACATTCATGAAGAGGGTCACCTAGTGTGGCCTCAGAAGCACGACTTGTGTGTTATGGTGCCTTCTTTATGGAATGGCCTCTACCTATAGATAGGATGGCCCCGACCCTGTTGGCCTTCAGGCACTGGGGCCAGGATTTGATAGATTTGACACCTGGTGGATGATGAATGGATGGAAGTTTTTATTGAGACCTCAGCATAGTTTATTGCATTGAATGATTTATAATGTTATTATGTTTTTATTTTGTTTGCTGCCCAGAGTTCCTTTGGGAGATGGGCTACTATATACGTTTGTTTAATAAATAAAAGCAATATTTCTGCAGCCTTGGGGATGTTTGTTTATCTCTTCTGAAGCTATCTCTGGGTTTAGATGCTGCCGTTTGGGTTGCATAAAGTAATGGCTTGTTATTAGTATAAATAGGACAGCATCTGTGAGTGCTTTTACTTAGCTTCAAGGCAGATTTCTCCTGTTCCTGCTTTCAACAGGATCTGATCTCTTAATCTCTTGAAATTAATTTCATTAAGGTGGCATGTCCAATGTCAAAATATTTTGCTTCATTCTGTATTTGTAAGTTGAATCTAAGTGTTCTTCTTTAATTGTAATCGTAATTTCTTCTAGTTTCCTCTAGTGTCCAACCTTCAAAGTCCTATTCTATCTTTAAAAAAAAAAAATTCAAAGATGTCAGGCTTAGCCAAAGAGCAATCAAAGTTCATTTCTTTATTTGATTACATATTCAATCTTGCCAGACTAACCCTATACTACCCTAACCTAATAGATTACCCTGGAAATTTTAGGAGTATTATCCTAAACCTTGTCCTCTTCCCATGACCCAGTTTTGGGCTGTGTTTGTTCTTACCTCGCACCCCTCCTTGGAATGTGCTCCCTCCTTCCAGGGAGCCCTACTGAGTTAAAAAACATTTTTCAGTGGGAAGCATTCTTATGCAATAGTAAATAATTAATTACAAAATTTTAAAGAAAGTTTGTAATTTTCCAAAATTAAAGTTCTAATCACCTATTTGCTGTTTATTCTAAAATAAAAAATAAAATTGTATTTAAACTTCTTTCACTAACAATTGAAGGAAAGTCATTCAATGTTTTCAGATTTGTTGATCCAAAGCTTCCTAATAGTTGAAAAACAGTTAACAAGCAATTTTCAAAAGTGATTAGAAAAGAAAGTATGTAAACCCTGCATCCTTTTGAAGGTGCTGACCATGATTTGAGCAACCTGGCTATTCCTTCTTCTCCCAGAGCTCTAAACCAGGTAGAGACAGTTGTCTTGTCGTCTCCTCATGAGGAACTGCTGTCTGGAGCACTTGTGGGCAATCTCAAATTCCCTCCTAGTCTGTTTTCAGACTTGTTGCCCTGGCTGAGGAATTCTGGGATCCGATATATATCTAAGTTGCCAAGTTTGAAAAATACTGCTCCAGAGGAATGGTGATGGATTCTCTAGCAAGTGTGAAGCTACACAGTCTGTGAATCACAATTCAGTAGCCATGTCTGAGCCTCAATTCCCAGACAGTTTTGAATATACAGTGAGGGGGAAAATTATTTGATCCCCTGCTGATTTTGTACATTTGCCACTAACAAAGAAATGATCAGTCTATAATTTTAATTGTAGGTTTATTTCAACAGTGAGAGACAGAATAATAACAACAAAAAATCTAGAAAAACGCATTTCAAAAAAGTTATAGATTTGCATTTTAATGAATGAAATAAGTATTTGATCCCTTCACAAAACATGATTTAGTACTTGATGGCAAAACCCTTGTTGGCAATCACAGGTCAGACGTTTCTTGTAGTTGGCCACCACACATCTCAGGAGGGATTTTGTCCCACTCCTCTTTGCAGATCCTCTCTTCAAGTCAAGGTTTCAAGGCTGACGTTTGGCAGCTCAAACCTTCAGCGCTCTCCACAGATTTTCTATGGGATTAAGGTCTGGAGACTGGCTAGACCACTCCAGGACCTTAATGTGCTTCTTCTTGAGCCACTCCTTTGTTGCCTTGGCTGTGTTTTGTGAGTCATTGTCATACTCACACATACCCATATTGTCATACCTATCCACGACCCATTTTCAATGCCCTGGTTGAGGGAAGGAGGTTCTCACCCAAGATTTGATGGTACATGGCCCCGTCCATCGTCCCTTTGATGCTGTGAAGTTGTCCTGTCCCCTTAGCAGAAAAACACCCCCAAAGCATGTTTCCACCTCCATGATGGAATGGTGTTCTTGGGGTCATAGGCAGCATTCCTCCTCCTCCAAACATGGCGAGTTGAGTTGATACCAACACTTTCACCCAGTTTTCCTCTGAATCATTCAGATGTTCATTGGCAAACTTCAGATGGACCTGTACATGTGCTTTTTTGAGCAGGGGGACCTTGTGGGTGCTGCAGGATTTCAGTCCTTCATGGTGGTGACTATGGTCCCACTAGCCTTGAGATCACTGACAAGATTCTCCCCATGTAGTTCTGGGCTGATTCCTTACTGTTTTCATGATCATTGAAACTCCACGAGGTGAGATCTTGCATGGAGCCCCAGACTGAGGGAGATTCACAGTTATTTTATGTTTCTTCCATTTGCGAATAATCGCACCAACTGTTTTCACCATCTCACCAGCTGCTTGGTGCTAGTCTTGTAACCCATTCAAGACTTGTGTAGGACTACAATCATGTCCCTGACATCCTTGGACAGCTCTTTGGTCCTGGCCATGGTGGAGAGTTTGGAATCTGATTGATTGCTAGTGTGGACAGATGTCTCTTATACAGGTAACAAGCTGAGATTAGGAGCACTTCCTTTAAGAGAATGCTCCTAATTGCAGCTTGTTACCTGTATAAAAGACTCCTGGGAGCCAGAAATCTTGCTGATTGTATAAAAGGCACCTGGGAGCCAGAAATCTTGCTGATTGATAGGGGATCAAATACTTTACTCATTAAAATGCAAATCAATTTATAACTTTTTTGAAATTTGTTTTTCTGGATTTTTTTGTTGTTATTCTGTCTCTTACTGTTAAAATAAACCTACCATTAAAATTATAGACTGATCATTTCTTTGTCAGTGGGTAACTGTAAAACATCAGCAGGGGATCAAATAATTTTTTTCCTCACTACATATATCTGAACACACAAAGCCCTCCTGGAAAGTCTGTGCAAGGCTGTAGCCTTTAAATATTTTGGATGAGATAAATGATATACCATGGAATAGGCTAGGCTAGTGTCTCTAGAACTCCATTATAACCTATTGCTATGGATTCCCCTCACACTGCCATTTAAAACAAAACCTTCAAGCTTTTCCATTTTCTGTTGCATTTAAAACAAAACCTTCAATATTTTCCATTTTCTGTTACAGTGACACATTTCAGTATTTCAATAAGTTACAGAAATGGCGGCAGTCAGAGGCAGCTAACTTGTGGAATGAACCAGCAGACTCTGCTCATGTGGAGCGAGGAGATGATCATGAGCTTCACAAGCTGCTAGAGAAAAGGTCAAAAATGCGCCGTGGGTCAGAGGTAAGTTGCCCACACAGTTGGAGCTCTTTCTTTCATATGGAGCTGAATTTCATGATGTGGAATTCAGCCACATGTAGCTTGATATATAGGCAGATATAGTGAGTAGTTTCTTGTGTTGTTTCCTCTGTATGAAAGTGGTGAAGTGTGTGTCAAGAATGCTCATAAACAAGAATGCTATTGCTGCCTTGAGCCAAGAAAATAAAGTGATGTAAATGTATAAATTGGTCTTTTTAAGGTTATTCTGAGAATGCTTGTGGCTACATCTAGTTATGGCTAGGTTTGCCATGTTGTCATTCCATGAACTGCTTTTCCCATGACTTCTAGAGCTCATAAATATTAGAAATGTGATTTTGATTATTCCTCATCCTCAGGGCACTGAAACTAGCTAAATAACATGATGCTGTGCAGAAGGGACTGGAGGGGGGTATTCAAAATTTTCTACCAAATGGCCATGATTTCACCTGAGAATTGCAACTTTACCTAAACAGACAAGTATTTTCTCCTAAAATAGGATATAAAAATAATAAACCAAGCTCAAGATGCATTGCAGTTTAAAATGGTCCAGACAGATCTGGGCTATGGAGGTCTCATTGCAAGGGTGTCTGGAGGAAGTGGTGTGTGTGTGTGTAAATAAAAAAAGATGTTGATCACAGCCATGTAATCCAAGCATGTGTTATATGATTGTGGCTAACATCTTGATCTTTATGATTTCCCTGTGGACTTGGTACTTGATGGCTTTTATTGCTGCAAGCCATATGCTACTAGCAAAACAATCAGGTAGATGGAAGGAGAATGGAAAAAATCTAACCTTTGCTTGACAAAACATCATCAAAAAGAGATAATGATGTCTCTGAAATCTGGATTCATTGTTTAACTGCCATTCTCTTTCTGGGTCTCCTGGTTCACAATTTCAGTACTGACTTCTGAAATCCTGCATAGTTTAGGAGCAGAGTATCTCAAGAAACACATTATGTTTCAATGTGGTTGCTTTTGTCATCTTTGGAGGCACTTCTCCAGAGGTCTCCAACAAATGGAGAAAAGTGGGTAGCTACAAGGAACAGGTTCTTTGGAGTGACAGGTCCCCCTTGCATTCTGTGGAAGGAAAGTAAAGAAGAGGATGGTCAGCACCAAAATGGATGGATTCAATAATAGTGGTGCTGAGTGCACTATTGGAAGACCTGAAAGACAAGGTGAGGGACAGATCATCATGGAGAAAGTCTATTTATGTAGTCACTAAGAGTCATCAATAACTTGATGGCATGTAATAATCAATTGATTGTATTTTTGTTATTTCTTTAAAGAGTAGGTCTAACAATTGTGGTTGAACCAGAAAAATTCAATTATTGTGTGGATTAGAAGTAAAAGTATTATTGCTGCTCATACCAATCATTTATTCCTTTTTCCTATACAAATAAGTATAACGATTAATTGTAACCACAATCCTTAAATAAGGGGAGCAGAGATCTTATCTGAGTACAACACATTTGTATCTAAGTGCACATGCATGCCCAAAGCCATTATTTAAAGTTGGAACTTCAGTGGCATCTCCTTATGTACCCACCTAATTCCACTCTATTTTTTCTGTTAAAGATAGTTTTCATGAAGAAAAAGAAAAACTTGATATACTGCAAAACAACACTAGTCTCCAGAATAATCCTAATTCCAGAAAGTCTTCAGATTATATATAGATCCAAAACTATTCTTAAATGAATAAAAATAGAAAATTACTCTAGCCCAATGCTTACTTTGTATGTGTGTATCTTGGAGACTTAAGAGGGTTGTAAGAATCAACTTCACTGGTTAACTTTCACTGGTGTTTCCTAACGGGGTTCAATCATTGTGGTAGCCATGTTGTGAATGGATATACACCCTACACAACAATTAATTTTGATTGTGCATAATCTATTCTCAAAATATTAATGTGTCCTCTGGTTCCACAAGGTTGGAGATCTCTGTTTTCATGCCTCTGTAAAATCTAGCTGCTTGCACAGACATGCCTTGCCCTCTATAAGAGCATGTATTTTGCTGATCTGTATAGCTTGGGGGTTCTTTTTTTTCCTGTTCTCCTTATTCTGATAAAGGGATACCGACGTTTGAGCTTTGACATCATTGCCCATCGACAGATCCGTCGAAAGGTAAAGGATAGATGGAAACATATCTTAGAAGTCTTAGGTAAGTGTGTTGGTAATGAACATTTTCCTGGTTAGAGTTATCGCTGTCATTAATTTATTTAACTATTGTATAATCTTTTATTCTAAAGGAAAATTTAAAAAGTATAGGCAGGACCTCAGATACTGTTTCTGTTGTTTCAGATTTAAATATAAAATATCAGTAAGAATAAAATAAACGTTGTTTTTTCATTGGCTGAGATATTGTGGGATGTTAACTAATATCATCAAGTATAGTTTGATGCAAAGAATTAAATCTGCCATTGTCTATTGAAAATAATTGTCAATTGGTTGACTGCAATTCTGACAAATAAAAAGAAAAAAGTATCTATGGAAAGAAGGCTTCTATGTAGAGCTTTAATCCAACAAAAGTTATTAAAAAATCTAGAGAATTAAATAGAATATATGGAATTTGCCCTTATTATATAGTATTGCAAGGTCTAGTAAACTCAGATAATTGAAACAGCAATTTTCAAAATATTCCAGACCTCAAAATCTGTTAGTTAAAAAAAATCTTGGAATTCCTGATCAACACTCAGAACAATAGTGATTCAAAAATGATTATCTTTAAGCAAACTTTATCTGTCTGTCTGCCTATCTCTTTCTCTGTGTGTGTGTGTTAAACTGATATAAAAGAACAATGATTAAGCTGGTATTAGGCCTGGTGGAGGGGGACGATTCTCCTGCTTCTCAGATGCTAAATTTGGGCTGCCTGACCAGGAATTTACTGTAGAATTTCCCTCTATTGCCTTGAACCTGTGTCTTTTTTGAAATCAGGCTTGGCCCCTGGCAACTGTCTGGACTAGTCTCTTCAGTCTTCTAGGCAATGTCTTTCATAAATGGTTTCCCATTGCCCTCTTCCTATGGCTGAAAGAAATGACTGGACCAAAGTCAGCAAGCAGGTTTCATGCTTAAGACTGGACAAGAACTCATAGTTTTCTGATGCTTTTGTTGCCTAATGCTTTAACCACTACATAAAAATGGCTCTCCCATTGAATTTAGAGGGATCCATGCTTCGGTATCTTCATTCTTGGGTTCTGTAAGACTTCGTACAAGTGGAAGATGGAATTGCAGAAATTTCAGCTACACAGGGCTATAAGATTATATCCTGGGACTAGTCTAGACACTTTCTACCAGTGCTTTTCACTTGCGCTTTCACTGAGCAACATGGCACTGGAATTCTAAGATAGAGCATTTTTGGGACCTTTTCAAATTACAAAAGCCATGCACCACACCCTTCCATCATCTCCCTGGATTAAGGAAGGACATTGAAAACTATTTTTGATTTCAATACATATGGGAGGATGGCAGATATCATTTTTGGTGCAACTGATGTTCTAATGTTTTCCCTTGCTGTATACTGTACCTGTCTGAACTTTAAGATTATTTTCTGTAACTTGTTTTATGGTAGTTAAAGCTAGATGATTATTGTGCTGTACAAAGGCTTTTTCTTTTGTAGCATATTGATTACAGAGGATCCCTTGGTGTCAGATAAAAGCTTTTTATATGTTTCAGGATGACTAAATAGTAATTTGAAATTTGGTGAAATATCTTTGCATATTTGTTTGAAGGTGTATTTTCATATTGACTTCTCTGACAGTACATATAATTACAATAGAGGAAGATCATTTAGTGAATTGCTATGAATGAAATACGGGGGTTAATAATATTTCCCAATATAGGGTTCAAAGCTGAAACAGATGGCCTACTCACTGTAACTTCCTGTACTTCTTATGAATCTCTCCACAATCCTCAAGAGGCCCGCAGACTCCACACTACCCTGGCTGAACAGACATCAATTTTTGGTCATCATGATGGTGGTCCACCAGAGAGATATCTCTTTGTCCTGGTGAGTAGGGAGAAAACTATAGAAAATATGCTATCTCTACAGTGCCATGTTAAAAGAAGCTCTGGATATTATTCACAGCATCATGGAAACTATTTTGGAGGATGAGAACAACAGCTGCATCTCTCCTAATTAATTGAAATTTGATGTAGGTCTTCCCACAATGGTTAACCTAATGTGGAGCAGATGTAAGTTGATTCGTTCTAATGTACTTTGTGGTTCAAAGCCTGGAAAAAAAAATATTTTGAAAGGTAGTCTGAGGCAAAAGCAGTCCATTTTAAAGTGGACAAGTGTTAGAAGACGTTTGAGGCAACTTTAACAAGAATTACTATTCTGTCACCCCGAGAAGGTCATATGAACAGCAGTAAGAATTAATCCTTAAGCTATCATCAACATAACTGAAATCATTTGTGGAACACACATTATAATCTATACCATACCATATATATCATCATATATCATATAATATCATTATATTATATCACATTATATCATATATATTTATAAAAGGTTAATGCAAAATATAAGAAGAGAAATCTCAGGGTCTTAATTTAGGTACCCTTTTTGATAGAAAAAGAAAGCAATGAGATATCAAAAGGAAGAAAGAGGCAAATATCGGGTGGTGGGACTGAGAGGAATTCTGTTTGCAGCTGCCATTGTCCTGCTTTCAGGATGCTGAGATAGACAAGAGATGTTTCTGAGCAGGCCAAAAAAACCAAGATGGTGGCCATGACCTACAATTGAAGCCCCGTCCCTTTTTAAATATACATTGCCTGTGCAACTGTTAGCCTGCAAGGCCATTCTGACAGGAAGCCGGACTAGGAGTACTAGCTCTATCATTATTGTAAGGTTACATTAACAGAATCTGGCAAGTATGAAAGTATTTCTCCCTCCTTTCCTTTTACTCTCCAGAAAACTAAGAATGGTTCCTTCTGAAACATTTCCACACGCTCCCTCCTTCTGTGGGGTTGATACATCTTTTACATACCAGTTGTCCAGTCTGTAACTCTCCCTTCTGTCTCACAAGATCATTCCCACATATCCTTACAGCAACACACATAAAAAGGAGCAGGTGTTTGACAATATCATCCTCCAATGAGAATAAGATCCTCTATCTTGACCTTTTTGATGCCTTTCCACAGGCACCCCTGGCTTTAGCCACCAGATACATGCTTCAAAACTACGGATGACAAAGACAGAGCAGCAAAGAGTTTTTCTAGATCTCTTTGCTGCCATCTAGTAGCAGGAAGTGAGCATTATTTGATGGGGAGGACAAATCCTTTATTTTCCAACAATGCCAATGAAATAGTTGTCTTGGTTGCGCTGTTCCTAACAAGCCATACAGGGAGAGAATTGAGAAGTTGCTAGAAATAGGGCTGTGGCTGCTTGAAGCAGAAGCCCAGAAAAAATTCTTAAAAATTCTCCAAAGCCTTGTCTGGTTCTCCCTAGACCAGGGGTCTTCAAACTTGGCTCTTTTATGACTTGTGGACTTCAACTCCCAGAATTCCTCAGCCAGCGTGCCTGGCTGAGGAATTCTGGGAGTTGAAGTCCACAAGTCATAAAAGAGCCAAGTTTGAAGACCCCTGCCCTAGACAATTCATTGATAAGGTATCTGTCTTGTGAGGCCTGAATGTGGACCTCCAGAAAAGGAGGGAAAGAATATTTTCTGCTCAGTTTCATTCCAATATCCTCTCTTTCTCTCTCTTACAAAATGTGGATCTGTCATTTCGATCTTTGCAAATGTAATAATACATTTTTATGTCAATGAAAAAATCACCTTAATTGAACTGATTTTATTGTTTGTTTGTCATTGTGCTTTTATTGTATTAACCGATAATAAGTTTGCTCTCAATCCCTCCCTCAACTTCTGCTGATAACTAGGCCACATTTTAAAATCAAAAGCTATCTCCTTCAATATATTACAAAATAAAATTTAAATGGAATTTAATTTTCTTAGACTTGCACCAGGAAAGATTTTGAATTTTCTAGATTCCAAAATGAATTCCTTTAAGCATTTTTTGTTCCCCACTCACACCAAAAATGTGGAGGAAACAAAATCAAATAATGAAAACTGGCAAAACTAATACTACATTTAACAAATAGTTTGAGAGACCTATCACTCCAGAACTACTTCAAAAATCTTTATCTCCTTTTGTACAATATTTTCATACTTGCTATACCTCACAGTTTTATAAGATGGAAATGTAATGTAATCTATGATTTACTGCTAATAGGAATTTTTGTGATTTGATTCATTTCTTATCATATTTCTAATGTATTTTTTCACCTTCCCTGTATTTCCATTATATTCTAATTTCAGGACCGGCTTATTCTTCTTGATGTGGGAGATGATTTTCTGTCAGCTGCACGTCACTTTTATCCTGCAAAGGAAGAAGAAGACAATATGTCTTCCAGTGATGGAGACCCATCTACTCCTGGTCCCATCTTAGTACAATTAAATAATGAAACTCAAAAAGAGGCTGAAGTAGAAGAGGGGGAGGAATTAAATGAGAACTATACATATTTTGGAGGGGCAAAAGGAGGAAATTGAAGAATCTGAGGAAAGTACCATGAAGAGAAACAAACTCAAATCATTTAGTACAGACCTATGAAGGCTTAAAACAGGGATTCTCAACTTTCATTTCTTAAATTCCATCAATTATCGTAAGAATTAGGACCCACATTATACAAAATAAAAAACCCCATGTACTGATAATAGCTATATATTTACAAGTAATCCATTACTAAGTTTATCATGTACAGTCAGTTTTAAAGACTTGAAATTTCAATTAGTTATTCTGTATCCCATATAGAGTGCTTCTGAATCCCATTGATGCCATTATTGAATCTAGGTAACTACATTATGGACTTTTTAAAAAGTCCTTTTTCATATAATAAACTTACATTTCCTCATTTCCCATTTTCTTTTTATTATTATAGCATCTTCTAACATAATCTTTGAAATGTATACTATAAGTAAGTCACTGTCCCTTCTAAATGATAAAAGTAGGAAGTGGTAAACATTTGGGGATAAATAATGAAGCAGAATTATCTTTTTTTCTCTATAACAGTGATGGCGAATTTTTTAGAGACCAAGTGCCCAAAAACCCACCCTGGCCCACCCACTCTGCCACCCACCTCACCCCTGGCCCACCCACAAATCACCCACAGCCTCCATGGCCCACCACAGATCACCCAGGCAGCCCTGCAGCACCATGGTGGCCACACCCTCTGCCCGCACCCCGCAGCATCATCTGTGCACGATGGGGCGCAAGGGCAGAGTCTTGTCCCTGCTGCCCGGCTGCCATGTGCTTGGCTATGGTGCTCTGCGCGGGCCGTGCCCGGGGCCAACTCTCCAGGGATGCTGCTGCTGAGGAGGGGGCCACAGGGGGAGGCGGGGCTGGGGGGAGGGCACTTGTGCCCACAGAGAGGGCTCTGAGTGCCACCTCTGGCACGCGTGCTATAGGTTCGCCACCACTGCTCTATAATTTAATGTCCCCACACTGTCCTTTGCTACTGTTGGCTGATACTTTATTTTGCATTGTTTTCTACAAGACTCAGAGTCATTTTATGCCAGGTGCAAGAAATGACCCAAGGAGCTGATCAGAGTGGTATGTTTATTGCAGCTTGTTTATAATCTAGCCAGACTAAAGCGCTCACCACACAACCACTAGATAAACACTTTAAAGTTTTAGGGAGGATCTCCTTTCAGCTGCTTCCTTCCCATCAACTCATCTCTAAATTCCATCGTATTTTACTTTTCATTTGTGGTTATGAGAATAAGAAATGTTAAACTCTCCAAAGATACCAATCACATCACCCATCCTTCTGCCCACCTTAAGAGTTTTTTATCCCAAAGATGCTTTTTTCCTGAAGCAAGTGGACTTTCTTGTTTTTCTTTGAAGACGTTTCACTTCTCATTCAAGAACTTTCTTCAGATCTAACTGAATGGTGGAGCTGAAGAAGCTTCTTGGATGAGAAGCAAAACGCCTTCAAAGAAAAACAAGAAAGTCCAGTTGCCTCAGGAAAAAAGCATCTTTGGGATAACTATGACCAGGATGACTGAGAATCTCCATAGATACTTAAGAGTTTCTTGTATAACACAACAATATTTCATCTGCATGCAAGAATGGCTTCAGATACCATGCTAAGCCATGATTTAATTAACTATGGTTTATTGAACAAATCAAAATTTCCTTATTCTAATTGATTTGGCTTTGCCTCTCACTGTATAAGTGGATATAAGCCTATGGTCTTAAGAGGCCATTTCCTAAAAAAATGAAATCTCTCCTGGAAAGTGTTGCCCAACCTAGTTTAGCATAGATGTGAGCCTGGACAATTGTGCTTTGTTAAACAAACCATCACAGAGCAGAGAGTGCAAAACCACCAAGCACTGACTTTGGTGGCAGTTCATAGTTTTCATTCTATGGATCTTCATCATGGCACCTCTTTAGCCAGAGGGATCTGACTTTATAGTTCTGTCACCAACTATAAAACTGACTACTATATTTTCAAAATTGGGGTGGGTCATGCAAGAGAAGCCAAGGCTAGAAGGTGCTGTATATTCTCATGGGAACAATCTTATGTGATTTAGCCTGTATTTATTTACATATGCTAAAATTCAAGGCCTTCGCTTCTATGCATTTCTATTACGTATATTTTTAATAATACATTTCTTCTTATTAGTTTTTAAAAGGCATTATGCACAGTAATGCCTGATGACGTTCAGAAACCAGATACAGGATTTCTGGGTTCTGCATGATATCCTCACCTTCTCCTTTTCATAAATAATAAAATACATAGTTCAAAGTATGCTTGCCAGCTTACTTCCATTGAATTCCATTTCTTTCAGGCAGTATCTGGAATACTTTGAGTGCTGAAATATATTCAGTTACATTCATCTTTGCAAATTTGGTGATTGTTATTTTGCGGTTAGGATGCATAGGTTCCTGAGTATGGATTTTGACTGTAAGGATCCAAATATAAGGATTTTTATTAGCTTTGGCAACAAGATTATTATACATATAAAGATGGAAGAGTATTGAAATTCCCACAAGGGAGGAATGGATCATAAAACTCGCAGAAGTAGCAGAAATGGCAAAACTGATTTGTTGGTCAGGGAGATAACAATGTTTTTTTAATAGACTGGAAACCATTTATGGTTTTTGCTAAAAGAAAAGAAAGTGAGATAATGATCTATGGATTTAATGATTGAAAAATATGAATATATAATATGGGTTTGAATGGATTTCTGGAAGAGATAAGAGGATGTGGAGATGATGGATTTGTCAATATCCATTTAAAAGAAGTTCGGAAGTCATTTTTTTAAATAACTTTTCTTTTTTTGAACCTTTTTTTTTTCTTTTCTATCTCTTTTTAGATGTTTTTTGCTTGATGCAAAATTCTGAATAAATACATTTTTATAAAGCATTTTTGTTAAGTTTAAGTACATTTCTAATGGAAAATTACCTTTGACCTCCAGTAGGTTAAAAAAATATATTAGCTCAAAAATGAATTCAGATGACGAAACACTGACTAAATAGAAGATGAGTCTTATATACAATACTTAGGTCATTTGTTTTTATAGGTGCTGAATAAAATCTACAAAATGTCTCAGTTGAGTTGATTTGCAGGCTATGAACAGCACGGCACAGAACAGTGTGTATGTGAAACAAGGGAATGATGAGGAACTTTAGTATACAATATAAACTTGACATACTTCTGAAATAGTATTTCTCTGTACTTTGAAAGATGGATCCATTTTCTTTTACTTGTTTTTGCCTAGCCATATTTTCTGCTTCCTGGACACCTGTCCTCCTCTCATCATGTCTTTCTTACACAATCTCTGTAAACAAATTGTCCCTGTCACACAAATGGAACTTGGAGACAGAATTGTGGCTGCTTTCACTAATCCTTCTGGCTCTGTAGCTAAATAGCAGAGCCTCTAGTTTCTCAGAGTAAAGTTTCAACTTTCGCTTCTTCTGTTTTCTCTCCCTACACTTTGTTCCCCTGTATTCCTCTTGCAAAAGCCCAGCAATCTGGTTCTTAAGGTCCAGATCATAGAGATCAAGCATCAACCAAAAGAGTGAGAATAAATTGAGGAAACTGTTGGGCTTATTTTTCCTATCACAAACTTCCATCCCTCCTCTCACTATCTATTCCATCAGCTGCCAGCTGCCAGCTGTCAACTAATACACACAGTTAACAAGTCTTTTATCCAGCTTGTTCTGAATGGCTTCTTCCTTCCTTATCAAGGGATTTGTGGTTTTGCACTTTCCCAACAATCTTGACCTCCTGCAAGGGATTGTGAGTATGTGGGTGAGGGTAATGGATATCAGCTGTTGAACTCAGGTTTCAAGAATCACACTTAGAGGGGAATCAAGTGGAGTAAACATCACTTGTATATATGACTGTCTGCTGCAATTGCTTTGAAATAGGCTGGTTTGTGCTCAATAGAAAGTTAAGGTTTTGCATAACGTGGGAATCTCTGCAAATCTAAGCTGAGCAGTGAGCTTCTGAGCTTTCCTTTTTTTTACTCTCAAGTGCTGGGACACGGGTGTCAAACTCGCCACGTAATGTGTCGTGACGTATTGTGACTTTTTTTGCATTGCCGGAGTTGGGGTGGATGTGGCCTCCGTATGATGCAACCGGTCCGCAGACCGACAGTTTGACACCCCTGTGCTAGGAGATGGAATAAAACAAAATTATTGATCTTTTATTTCATATGATTTAGAAATTGTGGCTTAAAACAGGGCTTTTCAACCTTTTCACTCATTGTACCACTTTTAGGATATGGCAATATCCGAGTACCACCAGTCGCCTAGTACAGGGCTTTTCAACCAGTGGTACGAGTACCACCTGTGGTACATTGGCACCTGGCAGGTGGTATGCGACCATCCTAGAAAAGTGGTAGTGGGGGAGGGGAATGAGCTGAACCGGTGGCAGCACCGCACAAGCCTGAGCAAGAGATGGCTGGAGCTGCAGGGCTGTCAGGGCTCAGCAGAAGCGCCAGGATCAGCGCCAGGCTCCATCTAGAGCTCAGGGCTGATCCTGGTGCTTCTGCTGAGCTCAGAAGAAGCGCCGATCAGCTGGAATGTTGCAGCATCTCCAGGGTCTTGTGATTTACTGTACATTCAGATGCTTGGCAACTGATTCATATTTATGACGATCACTGTCCCAGGGTCATGTGAAGTGACCAAAACCTGCTGCAACCACCCAGCAGACGGGGGAAATAAAAACCAAACACCCCCCCACCCCACCCCCGCTGCCAATCCTAAACAGAAATGCTCACAACAATGAAAACCTCAGACAGGAGAAAGAGCGCTGCCAGGCAGGCAGGCGTCTTGCTCGGCTGTGGCTTGGGGGGCACTTTTTTCAGTGCCACTGTAACTTCGAACAGTCATTAAGCAAACTGTTGTAAGTCGAGGACTTTCTGTACTTTATCAATTTTTTCCCTTTTTTGGGGGGTCATCAAGTTTTTGATACCTTACTAGGCGACTGGTGGTACTCGGATATTGCCATATCCTAAAAGTGGTACAATGGGTGAAAAGGTTGAAAAGCCCTGGCCTAGTAAGGTGTCAAAAACTTGATGACCAAAAAAAAGGGGGGGGAAGTGATAAACTACACGTAGTCCTCGACTTACAACAGTTTGCTTAGTGACTGTTCGAAGTTACAGTGGCACTGAAAAAAGTGCCCCCCAAGCCACAGCCGAGCAAGACGCCTGCCTGCCCACCCGGTGGCGCTCTTCCTCCTTTCCGAGGTTTTCATGGTTGTGAGCATTTCTGTTTAGGATTGGCAGCAGCGGGGGTGGGGTGGGGGGTGTTTCGTTTTTATTTCCCCCGTCTGCTGGGTGGTTGCAGCAGGTTTTGGTCACTTCACATGACCCTGGGACACTGTGACCGT